ATTATATGGTACTATATGCAAATGTAACTATTATATATAGTAAAATATATAAACATAATTACAATTTTGTTTAAATATCTCAAGTATTGTAAATAAAACTTTAACGCTTGGTTTGGATTGACATAATACATATATGTTTCAAATATATGCGTATTTAAAATATTGTTTCTTCACAATCTTGCTTCATAATCTTGTTTGTAGATTTTTATGCTTGATTCTCTTCAAGTTTAATTCTTTTCATGTCTTTTTTTTCGTTATTTAAGGCTTCTACTTATTCATTGCAATCATGACATTTGTTCTTTATAGATAAACTAGCAACTGCATTTAACAGACAAGATAGTTCAGTTGTTCTTTAATATGATTGGTTCTTACACTTAGTTTTTTATTGGATCTAAATGTATAAACTAATCATAATAAAGAATGGCTTTATATTTTGAACACAGTGTACATTTATGTACTTAAAATGACACACACATATTTGAAGTTTGGCAGAAACAAAATAGAAAGCAATTCAATTATAATAGAGCTATTGTTTGTATTCTATAGTTAAATAATGGAAATATTAATATATATGTATTTAAAATAAAATTGATAAAAGACTTGTTATTGTCGCTGCACTAAAACTTTCTATCTTGTTTTCATAAAATTTCAAATATATAGATTTGCAGAGAAGTAATTACGCGTTACCTATAACGTCATTTACGTTATTGTTACTTTTTTTCGTTACAACGATCGTTATTTTTTTCTATTTGTGATGGTAACATCGTTACATTTTTATAGTAACAAATTTAACCGTTTTATAAATTTTTTAATTCCCTATTATTTTTATATTCAGTAGATCGCATTATTTTTTTATTAGATACAAAAATATATATATTTGATTGTAATGATAGAAATGAGAAAGTATATATAAAAAATTCTTACAAAATATATTGAAATTACTATTTTTTAATAAAATAATATTTCCATTTGATAAAATACACTTGTGAAATATACCGAAAATTCTTTTATTTTGGAATAAAATAAAATATTTATTTCAATTCGA